ATAATGGTCTGAGCCAAAATTGAAAGAGGAACTTTTAGTTCAAAATTTCATTCTCTTTCACACCTTAAAATATTAATTAAGCGTTACGGGACACCCTGTATGTATGCGTGAGATATATTGATGTGGTAATAAACACGACACATCACTATACACACTACTACATCAATATCGCACGCATACATACTCACAAATTGCCGGTAAAACAGCGGATTTTTGGAGTTTGATCTAGGGTTTAGGATCCTCTTAAGGCGATGCTGGAAGATAAAAATTACCGACAATTGCAGTTGGAACGATAACTTCGAAAATACTGAATAGAATTAAAATCGCTTTTACAGGATTGAAATAGACATAAAATGTAATGGGGCGAGCTATTTTTTGTAGTAAAAACAACAAAAAATTAAAAAATTACCTTTTTTTCGGGTCGTACAGCAATCTTAACCTATCACCTGACGTACACATGTCATTGGTATAAAAGTTAGTTCTGTAGCTCATACGTACAAAATAAGTAGCTCGCCCCATTCGGATTACAGAAACAAATAATACAAGACCTTTTGAGCTACGATTGAAAGCGTAGAAAAAGATTTATCGTTCCAACTGCAATTTGTGATAATTTACACGTTTAGCTAAGCCAAAGACAGCAAAAATTGCGTCTGGCAGTAAGTGCTAGATTTTGCAACAGATGGCACTTCAATAAGTTAGATAAGGACATTTCATGTGTTTGAGTGAGACAAAAGATATTGTTCGAAATTCATTTAGAAATACCACTGATGACATTGAAGAGTCTGTTTTATCGACCTCGTGCAAATTTTTTTGACCTTCCAGCATCGCCTTAAGCAATTAGTCAATAATATAACATTAATTTTATAAATAGATCAATATTTTTTAGATATGTATGTACTACATTGTAATCATTCATTGTAATTCATCTGTATTATATATTTTGCTATAATAATTATAATTTTATTTAAAACTGCATTTCTGTAGTTACCATCCGCGTTTGATTATCCAAAGAGATGGTAAAACAGTTGGAAAAAAAAGTAATTTTACGGCAATGTATATGATATTATAGCATTATAAGTATTCATACTTATTTATAAAGCATTTATATATTAAAAATCATGATTTTAATGATATATTATTTAAATAAATCGCAAATTTATGTCAAAAGTCGATAACATCGACACTCTGTAATTCACCTCCGGACCCACCGGGCCCATTTGCTGGCACGAAAATTTACCCAGGGCTGTCGGTCTTTAAATTCTTTAAGAATATCTCGTCGGTGATTATTCAAATAAATTACAAATTTATGTCAAAAGTCGATAACTCTGCAATTACCTTCGGGCCCGCCGAGCTGGCACGAAAATTTGTCCAGAACTGACGATCTTTAAGGGCGAATTCACACCTTGACAGAAAAGCGGAAAACAGAAAAGCAGAAGCCAATCAGAACTCGCGTTGGTAGTCAATAGTTTTTGCTTTCTGCTTTTCTTGCTACCAGTGCGAGTTCTGATTGGCTTCTGCTTTTCTATTTTCCGCTTTTCTGTCAAGGTGTGAATTTGCCCTAAGGGTTAACATATACATCTATATAACTTTGCTGGGGACTCTAAGTAGAGCGCGCTAAATCCTGGTTAGTTTTTTATTATATATATATATAT